TTTGCAATTCCCCACCTGGCAGGAATCTGGGAATCACCACAGACAACAGGGAGGGGAGCAGCAGCGACGTGCGTCCAGCAGAAAAAGCAGCTTCTTAGGGTTGGAAATGAAGTCAGAGCTGGTCTGGGAGGACTGGGACCTGGGAAAAGAATTCACCAAAACATTAGTGTTAAAGAACATTCATAATAAGAGACAGAAGCTACACCTGAGGTCTCACAAACTCACACAGACACACCCATGCATTCATATATAAGCTTCACAAAGACACATGTATTATTTGATGTGAAGATAATGTGAACACTAGAGATTTGATGAGAATCCACTGGCTAACACAAACCCTTTTTCCTCTTACAGGCCTCCAGAGTCCACATTTTTCATCATCCTAAGTCCCCAGATCATTTTAATCAGCCCAGGGATGTCTTTCTCCATCCCAATCTCCTTTAGACCACTACAGAGGGTAATGGAACAATTCTAACAGCACTTAATCTTACATGTATTCTGAATGGGATGTGCTGCAGGACATCAGACTTAACATCTGATATATTATACCTTATATTCTTAAATCGCAGACCTCATAATCAACTTTGTAGGCTCATCATCGAGGGTGTTAAATGATATCAATGCCCATTTCATAACTTCTGTCTGTGTATCTGTTTTTCTGTTCGACTGTTTGGAACAGTGTGAGTATGAGGACAGCATTGAGTTTCAGAGTAAAGAGGGCAGCTTCCAAGTACGCCTCCAGGCCACCATTCCCTGTCTTGCCTTGGAGGTACCAGACTCTGTACTGCTGCCACTTTGTGCGGTGCAACACTCCTCACATACCACTTTCCTCCTCAAAAATGCAAGGTACGTATGTGTAGTAAGACATTTTTATTAAAATCTATTATATTTTTTTCTTTCAATTTACACTTACAACTTACTGAGGTTACTCTTTTTCATTTATTCCTTACTCTGATCTTCTTATTTTGTGTTTTACCCCCTTTCTGCATACCTGTCTTTCCACAGTAAACTCCAGACTTCCTTCCAGTGGGTGTGTGCTGCACCTTTCCAGTTAAGCCCTGACCATGGCCTGTTGAAGCCCAGTCAGGAGTGTCACATCACTGTGGTGTTCCAGCCACAAGAGGCGCTGGTGTACCAGCAACAGGCTTCCTGCAGGTTTGGAGAGGAAGGGGACAAGGCAGAGAGCTGCTGCACAGTGCTGCTGCTGGGACTAGGTATTTTAACCAGTAGCTGAGACAGAACTTGATAAACACAACAGATGCATAGATTTTTGTGTGTGTGGATTTGAAAGGTTATGAATTCAATTTAACATCTTTGACAACAGAGGTAGATGTGTAAAACACAGTCTATATCATCTTGACCTAAACGAATACTTGGCAGCACAATTTGTGATGTACATGTAATTGGATGGGCTTTATCCACCACCAAGATCTATGAATTAGACTGCAACTTTATCTCAATGCAGTGACTCTTTGGTTGCACCAGTAATGTAAAATTGATAAAACAAACAAGCAATCATTTTTAAGAAAAGGTCCAGTATCCTTATTGTTACTAATAACTTTTAAGAGCGTCAAGCAAAACAAGAAACTGACCTGACTGTATCAAATCTTATTAGCAAAGACACATGTTCTACAGATGTACTTACAGCTTCATTTTAATATGTGGACAATATGGCTGTTTTGTTTTGGAATGAACCCAAGGGGATGATGGAATACTTTCTCGCTAGGAATTTATCTTGCCTCTTCTTTTAGCCAAACACCCATGTCTCCAGCTGAGAAACCCTGCAGCCAAAGAGGAAAAAGAACAGGGGGGTCCAGTGCTGCACTTTGGTTCTGTGGCTGTTGGCCAAAATTTGCAGAAACACTTTGATATCTTCAACCCCTCTCCTGTGAGTAGTACACACAGATGCAGAAATGCATGTGACAACACTTTGTGACCTTCCACCCCTCTCTTCCCTTATATTACTCTCATGTCCAGGTAACTACATCTTTCTCTCTGTCACGTCTATCTGGCGGGGTGCCTTTGCTTGGGTCAGAATTCAGCTGTGATGTCTCCACGGGTAAAGTAGCGCCTGGTGGATCCCTGCGAGCTACAGTCACCTTTTCTCCTGCTGTGGTGGATACAGTTTCGGTTGAGTACTTATCTCTAAAATGCAGAGGGGCAGACAATGAAGATCTGCTTAAACTCACTGGAAGTTGTATAGGTAAGGGACCCACAATAAGGCAAACACGTACACAATCGAAAAATACATTGTTTTGCAATGTCTGAGAGACAGATAGAAAACTTCTTAAAAATCAAACGGGAAGAACATTTTAAACACAGAACTAGGAAGTAACTTCAAATTAATACAAATATTTTATTTTGTCACTAGGTCCTAAAGTTTCATTATCCTCCTCTGTGTTGGACTTCGGCTGTGTTAAGGATGGACAAGCAGTCGTACAAACAGTGGCGCTGGTTAATTCTTCTCCTGTTGAGACCATATACCAATGGGACCTTGACTGTAGTGGGCATAGTGTGTTCAGTATCCAGCCTGCAAGTGGCACTGTTCTGCCACACAGCCAAACCACACTGAAGGCAGTCTACAGGCCCACACAGCCCATTGTACACCACAGGAGAGTGGCATGTCTCATACTCCACCGGGTAGGAGCCAACACGCAGCTGTATACACACTCAGAACACAAACAGAAAAATAATAACCAAAAACCACCTAACAACCCATCCTCCCTCTAGGACCCTCTGTTTCTAGATCTGATTGGAACCTGTCACTCAGAGCTCCAGCAACCAGCCATACTGAAACCTGAACACTTGGTTTTGTACAAGCTTCACTGGTACCGTGGACACAGCCCACCAGACAGTCTCAGTGCCATGCAGCAAGATCATAATGTAGACTTGGATCAGCAAGGTCTACACTGCACCCTGGAGGAGGTAAAGCGCCACAGACAGATGTGCAGAAGTGTCTTTTTAAATAACTTGAAGCTAGCGCTGTCACTTGTAGAGATCACAGTGTAGGTTAATTAGTGTCTCTGAGATTCTGACTCTCTGTGTCATTGTCTTGTAGTCAAATCAGAGACCAGACAGCTCTACTGATGTGCTTAAAACTCCCATGGAGGAATTCTACCAATCTTGCTTGGGGTGCATGGATCCCCTCTCCTCCAGCTCTTCATCGTCTCCACATGTGTCTGTGTTTCCAAGTGAGCTGCTATTTAACCACAAAGTACCCTCCTTCGTGTCAACTTCATCCTCTTCTTCTCAGTCCGTCTCCATCACCAACTACACTAGGGGGAAACTAAGGTACGACTTCCTGCCTAGGACTGTGGCTTCTCAATATTACATTACCAACATACTTTTTTATCTGTTCTTCGAAACTTGAATAACAGTTTTATTGTTTTCCATGCTCGGTCGGGTGATTCTCTTCCAGCCTGGTGTGGACTGTTGCCCAAGACTCTCAATTTACTGTCTCTCCCTCAACATGTGACCTGGCTCCACTGAAGTCTACCTCATTCAGAGTGACCTATGATCCCAAGCAGCTCAACACTTTGCATGGAGCGCAACTTGAGTGCTTTGCATACTATAAAATGGTACTGAAAAATATATTGTCCATTACAACAAGCAAAGATGCCTTTCTTTTTTGAGTTAATATAAAAAATTGTGTTCTTTAAAATTAGCCTAAATTCTTTTGTAGTTTTAAGTACAACTCTGAAAGTCCAACAATTTTAATTCAGCAAGTCTTACTTATGTTTTGCCCTCACAATCGTGATGCTTCAGGAAGATCAGCGCATGGTTGAGCGACTGCTGTGTCCTCCATGGTGTGTGACAGTGAGAGTCATCGGTCACTCCTTTCAACCTGGCAAAGAACACTTCATCCCATGTTGCTCTCTGAAGCCCCCTCAAGTGGTGAGACATGTGCAGAAAAAAGAAAACAAATATTATAGTACCTCTTCTCATCCTTCTGTGTATTTGTCTCATTTATCTGTAGTTTTGCCATTTGCTCAATGAACAGCAAATAAGTTAAGTTAAAATTAGATCTTTTTCTCACTAAAACTTGACAAAAATCAATATAGAAGGACTTTGTAACAGCTTTACACGAGAGAGCTACTCTGGTAACTCTACCTTGTTATTCATTTTAGGTCTTTCCAGGCCTAAGTGCTGTTTCTTATCAGACAGCTCTCCTCCAGAATTCTGGAGATGTGCCCCTCACTTTCTGTCTGGACCTCAGCTCAAACCCTGCCCTTGCAAGATCAGTATCCGTTGTTCCGCAGTGCGGTCTGATCCAACCTGGGCTTCACCAAATCTTCACCCTCAGAACGACTCCCACAATAAAAAGTCCCAGACAAGGGTTCTGTTTACAGCTGCAGCTCAATGCAGCTAAACACACCAGGGTACTATATACACTACATGGATACAGAGACTCACACTGCCACGTATAGTCCCACTGTTCTTATCTGTGCATCTTTGTCTCTGTCACCTTTAGGAACTGACAGTTGTGAGTGTGGTTGAAAAGCTGTGTGTGTCTCTGGAAGGAGATGGCACTTTATATTTTCAGCCAACAGCTGTGGGCTCACAAACACAACGCTCCCAACACATCAGGAATCTCAGCTGTCTACCTCTACGGTTGGTTTGCAGAGTTGTTAGTTTGGTCTGGTATATCTTGCATTTATTTATGTATTGTTTGTAGTTTGGAGTTATCCCAGCATCATTAATCTTGTATACAGCTGGGTTCCCCTATATTGTCCTTCATGACAGGTTCCAATGGAGCATTCCAGAACCAGACCAAGAGCTTATCTCTGTTGAACCAGATGCTGGTGACCTGCATCCCAATGAGATCTTGGTGAGAGACTCAGAGAACAAAGATATGGTGCATTTAAGGAGACAGTACTTTGCAACTTATTGAAAACTTTACTAACCAGTGTTCCTCTTTGATTTTTATTACAGATTCAGACATGGTCCTTCAGTCCGCTGGCAGAGAAAACATACACACTCAAACCTATTCTCACCTTCTGGCCGAGCCGGACTGATGAACAAAACAAGTCCCTCATCACACTAAAAGTGGTGGGAATGGGCTCCAAAGGTTTCATAGAGGTAGGGCTGTCATTGTTTTTTGTATCAATTTTCCAAAATAGAATGGCAATCAGTAGCATATACCTTCACCAAGGCCCAACAGTCCCCTTAACTTCAATCAGGCTGCACCAAATTTCCCACACTCATAGATATCAGTTCAATAAATGTGCTAGTTTTTTTTCCTTCAGAATTCATGAATTATTCTCTGAGAAAACAGTGACATGCTTGACATATTAAAAATAGTAAAAGAGATCTTCCACCCAGATCAGCACCACAATTTAACGGTTGCTCTCTTGACACATTCAACATCCTTCCACCATGTTTTTCGTGGAAACCTTTAAAAATATTTTTGAGTAATCTTACTCACAAACACAAAAACAGACAAACAGGAATGAAGAGGGGTGAAAGCATAACCTCCTTGGCCGAGGTAAAAATTCAAATAGCTGTTCAGCCCACATTTGGAACATGAATTGTCCTTAAAGAGATCTGAAGCAAGCAGTGAGTGCATGTTTGTTTCCTCACCAGGCAGAAAAAGCCATCCTGGATGTAGAGGACACGCTCGTTGGAAATAACCAGTCAATTGAAATTCCTCTGGTGAACAACAGCCCCTGCTCTGTGTCCTTTCATCTCTCTGTGCAGCAGACACTTCTGGATGAGGAACTTGTTTCTGATCCTGAGATTGAGCCGTGTGGTATTCTCAGTTATACTGTTCTTTGTGTGCAATATGTGTATATGCATGATGTCCATCGGTTCTCAAACAAAGTAGATGATCTTACCATGAGTGTATATTGGAAAGGTAAATGACAAGTCCTTATTTTCTAGCCTTTCTGGCGTAGGTGTAGGCATAACAAAAATAGTGCTGACCAAGACTAAGACAGAAGCTTAACCAGTGTTTCACACTAAATACAAAATGTCCTTTTTGAACCCTTTAGCTCTAAAGCTGGACTGTGAGAGAGGAATCATCGCCTCACGCTGCACAATGCTGCTTCGATCTACTTTCAGACCACACAGACGAGGCCAGTACTTATGGACGATCAACTACCAGACAATGAATGCCAGTGGTAAATAGAAGACACTCAAACATAAACTCTACTGACTTGAATGTATTCTGCATGTGCTTCCTATTATTTATTAAAACGTACTGCTTTCTCCCTTTCTGTGTTCATCTCTCCTCTCAGGGTCTGTGTCATCCCCTCCACAGGCTGTATGTGAAGTGCGAGCGAAGGGTGTGTTCCCTACACTACAGGTGACTGATGTGTGCGGTGGTGGCAGTTCGGGCAGACTCAGCAAGATGCATCTCTGGAAACTGTTCTCATTGGACAGCCTCAACCAGCACCTGCTGTCCACCCCCTCCTCTGCAGAACTCATTTATAGAACCCCCACCAAGCACAGGTAGACACATTTTAAACACTGAATTTGTTGTAAAGGTCCAGAATTCTTTGTAGATTACATTTATATGAGCAAAATTACAACTGAAGACTTATCATAAAGGAACATTTTAAAAATGTATTTCTTCGGTTACTTTTAGTGGAACATACAGTGCATTGTCATGGCATGGTGTGTACCTTGCTTTGTTTCTTCTGGTCCCCAGTCTACACAGTTGTCCATCAACCTTAACCAAAGCCATGTTGGATTTCAACTTCAGTGCTGCTTCCATTAGTTCAGAGCCCTCAGCTTTTACACTGATGTTTCACAACCCTGGTTCCATCCCTGTCGATTGGTGAGTGAGCAAACAACAGACTGCAGAAGACACAGTCATCCAAGATGAAAGATATCTGCATTTAGAAATTATTTTCATATTCAAGATTCAATGTATTCAGCTCAGTGTAACAGACCTGGCTTTTATACATCATAAAAACATTTTACCATTTTTTGCTGTGATCAAAATAGTGATTTCCCTCCTGTATACTCCTGGTCACTGTGAACTAGAGTTTGTTAGTGGTTATTTTAATAGATTTTCTACAGATCTGTGGTCAAATGAGCCCTGGTTGATTATTTGTGACACCTGCTCTTCTCTATCAGGGCGTTCTTGTTTCCAGAGGAACAGCAGATAGAGTTGGATTACTGGGCAGAGACAGGAGAGCTCAGCAGCACTGAGCCATCCCAGATGAAGGTGAGTACAAGAAGGTTTTTTTATATTGAGGCTCAGATATGTTTACTTACAAAATACATTGACAAAGCTCAAATATCTTAATCTCTTTAATATGTTCAAAATCTGTTTCAGGCTCTGTTCAGCATTTCTCCTCGTTCTGCAACTTTGCAGCCTGGCCAGCAGAGGGCAGTACACTTCAGCTACAGGTAAGATATTGATATTGAGATATTAGTTTGGTAACAACAATTAGGCTTCACTGCATTTATTGAATTATTGTGACACTGATAATAATTCCACAAGAAAATGATCAAAATATGTATTTTTAGCAGAATGCATCTCTTCTAGGTATTTGAAGACTAGTTATGTAATATTGAAATAATTTTTACTTTTTCCTTCACAGTCATGACTTTGTTGGGACAAATCGGTTTCCTGTTCTGTTAAAAATCTCTCATGGCAGAGAGATCTTGGTGAGACACAACTCTAGTCACTAGTAAATGTGTTTGACATTAAATCAATTCATTTGTGACAATTAACAATTCTTCTTCTGTTGCACTATTGGTACTGCTATTTCAGTATGGTCTCATTTAGCTGTCATAAAAGAGTAGTAACTTAATTAACTATGGATGGTGAACTCTTTATAGTTTTAACCTCATATACTTGTATATATGTGTCTGTGCATAGCTTAACTTCCAGGGGGTGACAGTGGAGAGAAACAGACCATACCTCCACTTTGCCTCCAAAAGACACGTCTTCACTTCTGTTACTATTGGAGACTGTAGTCCTCCAAGGCAGGTGTGTGTCAAATTGTTCACTGTGAGCTAAAATACATGTTACATTACAATTAATAACATACAATATTTATGTATTAACTATATTCAGTTAAAGAGCTTCCCCAGGTTTCTCTAGCTGCTTTTGTAAATCTTTGTTTGTCCTGCAGGTGTATGAACTATACAATGCGGGCGCAGTGCCAGTCCATTATGAAGTGGACACCGCTGTGTTGTCACAGCTAAAGGTGGACAATTTTAACCATCCAGTGTTGTGCTGCCTCAGTCCAGAGGGAGAGGTCCCTCCTGGAAAGACGGCCATGCTGGAATGGATCTTTTCGCCACTGGAGGCTAAGATGTACCATGTGTGTCCCGCTGTGCCTTCTCTCTCTCTTCCTGTTACTGTTATCCCTTCAAAACCGTAGTAGTGGTTTATCCAGCTTTAACTGTAGGCCTCATATATTGTAATATTAAGAAAATATCTAGATACACAGATTTTTAGTCTTCTATTTATTTGCATACCACAGTATTTCTACATTTTGGGTTCGAGTACACATTGTCCCTGAATGTCCAATCTCCATTTGAAAATTTGACTGTTTCCAATCTTGTGTATCATTAGATGGACGTCTCTATCCACATCCAGGATGGGGACTCGACACTGGTGAGGTTTGAGGGATGTGGGTTTGGTACTCAAACACTGGGCTCCTCAAACACATTTAACTGCAGTGATACTTTGGAATCTGCGCCCTGTGTCCAGAGGGTGCCGTTCCCAGGACGGGTGAGAGCAACTCTGAACATTTTAATACAACCATGCCCACTCCCCCCAACCTGTGATCATTTCAGGCTGTTTTCATCATCATCTCTGTGTGTGTGTGTGTGTGTGTTTGTGGTGTAGTTGGTTTTTCTGTCTGGAGACAGCGTCTCTCTAGGTGACGTCCCTGTCTTCTCAGAATTGTCAAGAATCCTCTTCCTCACCAATGTGTCTCACTCAGACACTGTCCACTACACATGGGACCTTCCCCAGCAGAGCAACCAGCAGGTACAGGAAGACTGTGAATAATCTTTTATGAAAATGTGTAAGTTAAAACATATAGATATAGAACACCTTTATTGGCTCATGTATGTGTCATATAGCAATGATGACATCTTTCTTTTCTACGATTAGCTTGAAAAGATAAATGTTTTGTATAGTGTGTCAGGTGAAAATTTAAACATAGGATTCTGATGAGGTCTGTGTGTATGTTGTCAGGTGGTGCAGATCCGTCCAGAGCGAGGCAGCCTGAGTCCAGGGGAGTGTAGTCTTTGTGTCCTCACCTTCACTTCCACCGACTACCCCACTGTTTATCGGCTGGATCTCATCTGTCAGGTACCACAGCAGTAAGAGTGAAGATGTAAATTTGCATCAAGCTGAACGTGTGTTACATTTGTGAACTTTTTTGGCACACTATAGTTTAAAGTTACATCTTCTAAGATGACCAGTTTGTTCTCTCTTTCTTCTCCTTTCCCCCTCAGGTTATTCAAGAAGCTGCACTGACACAATATCATAAAGCTCTGCAACGCTGGGAGGAGGAGAGAAAGAGAGAAGAAGAGGAATTCACAATCACTGACAAGCACCTTCCAGGAAGTCAAAGAGATCTGATCAATAAGGTCGTTCAAAATGTTAAGTTTTTTATCAATGATATAACACTCTTCCTCCGTGTATTCACTGTATTCTTTGTCTTGTTACAGGAGACTGTGGGAGCGTCAGTAAGAAAGGATTCACCATTCAGGAAATATAAGGTGGTCTTCATTACCTGTAATTATAAGGCCTGCCCTGTGTATGAATATCATAGTAATCAACTGAATTTTGACCATACCTTTATGTCGAATGTTCTCTCCCCTCTAGATTATTCCTCCTATCTCTGCCAGTGGTAGTGGTGAAACAGTAGGTGCAATATGTTCTAAGTTAATGAGAGCTGAGCGCCGGGCACAGCAAGAAACGGCAAAAATACAGAGGCAGCCCGAACCACCCCAACCTGTTCTGTTGCACCTGGAGGTTACAGCACACTCCTATGGGCTTCTGGACTATCTCACACACTTCCCTGACCAGCTCAATAAGCTCTATAGGTAACATCTTTAACTGTACACACTTAAATCAGAAATGATTTTATAAATGCTGAAGTCATATTTGTTTTTGTCTCTGATGTCTTTCTCAGGGGCCTCCAGTCAGTTGAGTCCCAGACACCTTCTTCAAGCACACCCCTCCCTGTTACGCTTCCCCCGCCACCACACAGCCCAGAGAAGGACATCTTTGTGCACATTCTCACCACTCTGCTATGGTAACACCTTTATCAAACTAAAATAATTATTCTATTTACCCATGTCTGGTAAAGCAGTATAATTTGTGTAGGTTAGAAGTTTGTACCATTTATTGATTAAAATATAAATTAAGTTGTTTCCTGTTCATCCTGTCAAATGAACTAGAGAAGCAGCAGCACCCTTTGCTGATTTTAGATTAGATAAAAGGCTTTACTAAAAGTAACCTGGTCCCTGGCCCGACTTTGCTTATGAAATCAGGTGGTACCCAGGGTGGTGTAGTCATAAACGATAACAGATAATGTACGCAGGCTCTTTATAAAGGCCAAAACACCACAAAAACCACATCTTTTTTAATGTATACTTCTGTAAAGTCTAACAACACCCAAACTAAAAGTGACATTTGATCAGATGGCGTACGTCCGTCAAAGGCCAACAGTCCTCTTAAATTCTGCACCAAAACCTACCACAGTTAATCCTATAGCTATTTAATTTTCTTCCTGGGTCAGATCAACTGGATAGGTTCTTTAGGTAGGTCCTATCCTTCTACCAAGTTTTGTATTTATTGCATTTTTGACAAACCAACTAACAAATTGCACAGGTGGGGGCAACATAATATTTGTTTTATATATGAATCCCACAAATGTCTGACCGTCTGCGTGAAATAACAAGCAAGAAATGATGTGTGTGTGTGTATTAATGTATTTTCCTTCCTCTTCCCTTTCCAGGAACATCCTCGAGGATTCAGCTTTCGCTCAGTCTCTATTTACTGTGGCCTCCAAACCTGTCACCTACCGGCCGACAGAAACTTCTCCCTCTCACTGCCCCCCATCTTCTCCTTCCCCCCGACCTCAAGCTGTGTTGGATAGGCCAGAGGCTAGACTGACTGAACAGCACAGCACGGTGGACAGGGCGGGGACAGCACCAGTGGAACGTGCTCCTGTGGACGTGAGCAAAGGTGTTTTGGTGAACACCCTCCAGAACCTGATGATGGAAGCTGTCAGAGGAGAGCTTGTTCTTACAGCGCACCCACGCACCGTTATCTTGCCACCTGTTTCCACCAGGTGAAGACCGACTCACTGTACGCACGTACACTTGCAGTAGCTCTGGCGGCAGTACTTCTTTCCATGGTTTCAGTAGTTAAATACTGTGTGAAATGATTAATGTGTGTGTGTCTCATTAGGACCAGGAGGATGTCCAGAGCCTCGACTGAGGAGAACAGCTAAAAGGAAACAGTGAGGACTAAGTTTCACCATCTACTGCACATCCTAGAGACGCTTCTCTGTTTGTTGTTTTCATCTAAATCAGTATTTCCCACAATCCACTGTTATTAATTCTTTTCTAAAATCAGTTTTGCCTCATACACATTCTGTAGCTCTTCTGTGTCCCTTCAAGTGCCATCTATTGTTCCTTTGCACAGTTGTTCTTAAATCTCTCTCCTGCCCCCATGTCTCTGCTCTCAGTTATCTCATTGACTCTTCCAGAACTATTACATAAATGCTGCTGCAGCTGTATTAAGTTATTACCAAAGGTTTGGGGATCAATAAAAGAGATTCTATCTATAACACTTTGGTATTGGCAGAAATATCATCATCTGATTGGTTTAAATGGAAAAATTAACAATGTGGAAGTGATTTAAAATGAACCCACAGACCACCTTACTGTCTACTAGTATATCACTGTTTTGCAGTGCTGCTAACAACATGCTGCAAACGTCCATTTATTCCTCCACTACCTAAAATAATTTTGATGATTCCACTCACGGTTACTCATTAATATTTTATTGGACAGTTTATAAAATGAAACCACCGATCCAAAACATGAACTGAGGCAATTTATGTTCCACCTTCATACATAAAATTGAAGCAAATTCCTTGTCACAGATTTGTACATCTCATGTACGTCTCATTTTGAGTTTGAACATTTCAAACTCATTTTTCTGCCCCAACAAAACCGGTGCAAACAGTACAACAGGGCCAAGGACATACAGTATATAGAAGCATTTCACAATATTTACACAAAACATAATTAATATCACGTCCATTCAGCAACATAATTAAGTCATGGCAGACCATAAATAATCAAGAAATATTTGTCAAAGATTTTGCTCCCTGATTTGGTGGTATGGTCAGTTAGCTATAGCCTTAAAATGAATGCTACACTCAGTCATAAGGTGCAAATAAAAGATGTATAGTCACTCAAATGGTCAGGGAGGTAGTTTTCCAGCTGCTAACACTGTTAAAAGCTTAGTTATGATTTTATTTATCTTTATCCTTTTAAAAAGTCTTTTGATAAAAGAAAATAACACATATCCAGTCTCTGCTTTCACTCAGTAAACAGCTTTGATATAAGATATCCTTGTAGACAATTGAAATATTTATTGAATCCTTTTTACTTTGATGCTCAAAATAAGGCAGCTTATTTCATAAATCGACAAGAGCTAAGGGGAAATGGGAAGAAATAAAAAATCGCAGAAGATCACTCAGTTAAATTATATCTGGGTTATTGGGCATTTGAATGCCTGTTTTGCAAAAAAAAAAAATTCCATTAGGACGTGTGTTGAAGCTGTTTACCATTTGATGCTTAACCTTGTATCTTCTTTGTATTTTTCTGTCCAGTTCAGTGCAAGGCTGGTAGATTTGTACAGCTACAAACCGATCAACCATTTAAAGTCAGTGAAGAAGCTCTAGTTGAACCTGCCCTCAGCTTGCGAGGTGTCTGACATCGGTGGTTGAACTTGAAGATGGTGGGAAAGACCTTGTTTCGGAGATATTGGAGCTGCTCCTTCTCTGTTCTCAGTTTTTCCAATTCAAAGTAAGGGATCTGTTAGAGAAGAACACAGCTTGTTGAAAAGTGGAGACAATCTGAAGATGATTAAACAAATATTACGGATATAAAAGGTTTTTACACTAGTTAGCTGCAAATATAGCAGCTAAAAAAGCTGTAAAATTCCCTTCTGCCCAGTTTGTTGATGAACACATACCTGCACCACCTCATAGCCCATCCTGCGGAGGTGTCTCCTCTTTGTGGCTTCCTTTCCCAGCAGGTGCTGCGTGTTGCTGCAGAAACGGTCTTTACTGTCTAAACACAGAGCCATCCTGCACAGAAACAACAATAATCATATCATCCATCCATCAACTACACTGCTTGTTCTTTGAGGGCTGTGTTTGGATATGGCTGTCTCATTATCTTATTACTGCCGCCATGTCTGTGTGTTTATTTGTAAGTAGGATTAAGCAAAACCCACTGAATTCTGATTGGCACAAAATTTGATGTAAAGATAGACGTGGGCCAAAATTATTTATTTTAACTTTCCGTAACATTTTTCGATGTGCGTTTTTTCCCCCCGGGAATAATTCATGGATCTTGATGAAACTGATATCTGACTGTGTGCAATTTTGTGCAGCTTGAATGAATTGATGTTGGGCCTTTGTGAAAGTAGACTCTCCACTAAGTGCCTCACTAGTTTATCACCAACTTTTCGTATGTTTAAGAGGAACCTCTGTGACTGCAGCAGCGGCTCTTACCTCCTGTTAGTGCGATCCCACTGAGAGGGAGGCAGAACATACCCGTCCTTATCCAGGCATATCTCCACATCTTGGGAAGAAGAAGAAAAACAAAACATATCCATTAGTACAGCAGTCGCAACACAGGATATGTCTCATTTAGGTTAGCTTAATGTGATGTATAAATTCCACTGCAGCGATCATGTATTTATCAGCTTTATATTTATCTTGAAAGGATAAACATGTAACGTGATTGGCAAAAAAGGCTATGCTGCGTACCATAACTCTTAATCCATAAAATCGCATCATGCCCAAATGTAATGACACCATTTGTTTACCTATAGTGTATCCAATCGGAGTTAAGATTGTTGTTAAGTAGAACTTCCCTCCCAGCAGCCGCCTGAGTGACCCTTTGACATGTTTGTACATGAGACTGTCCATAGGTGTCTCAAAGGCATGGTCCACAGAGGAGAACTTCTTCACATGGAGGAAAGGAGGCAGTATGGGACCCTGATGAAGACGACATCAAGGATTTTTTTCTTTAAGCAAAATGAAACCTCATATTTTTTGGCAATGTGATCTTAGTGGATCGGCCCCATTTAAACATAAAGAAGTTGAGTTGTGTGATGCTCACCCAGAAGTGTTTACACTCTAATGAGGTGGACAGATGGAGCTGTGTCAGTTGTGCCAGTGCCTTCCTGTCCAGTGGCTGCCCCTGTGCTGTGGGACAGACAGGGACAGGTTACATGGCATTCCTTTACCTTGTTCATACACACTATACTGCATACACACTACATGTACATTAAATACACACTGCATGACACACACTACATGTACATGACAAACACACTACACAAACATGACAGACACACTACGTTACATACACTACATATGTTTGTTACATGCACACGTCACATTACATACACAGACATGCTCAAAAAGCCACATGCTGTAAATCAGTAGCTTTTGTGGCATTTTTCTATGAAAACAGCAAAACTACCATGGTTTGTACTGAGCTCCACATAGTACAAATACTGTGAACTTTTTCATAAAGACTGTGTGTGTGAACTGAAAGGAAAAAATTGTCATGACTCTGGACTCTAGACGAATTTTAGGATTTTTCGCTGCTTTGGCTGTGGACCCTTTGTTTATTATTGAGTTGTTTCATTGTGAGTTCTGCGTTTCCTGTTTTATTTTGTTTCTACTCCTCGTGTGTCTCTGCCTTAAACTTCCTGTCTTTGTCCTGTTTCCCGCCCCTGTGATCGTCTGCACCTGCTCCTCATGTGTTTCACCTGTGTCCAATCATCCCTGAGTGTATAAGTCTCTGTGACGTCCTTTGTCAGTTTGCGTCTTACGTGTGATATGGACGTTGTCTAGAAGCTGGTGACAGGAGCACCACAATGTACTGTTAGTTGGCCCTTTATCTATAACCTAACCTTGTTATTCTACCTGGGTTTTGCATTTTTGGGTCCACCTGTTCCTTAAAACTGACACAGGCTTGACTTCCAAGACGGACACCTACTGTGAAATCATTGGTGAATGTTTGTCCTGACGTGTGACAGTGTCTCTCTCATACGAGTCCTGTAGTTACCTTGCAGCCTCTGTAGGAAGTAGGGACTGAAGACTTTGGATGTGTAGTTGAGTGGGAAGCGTTCCAGGTGGATGCAGGCGTGCAGCACCTCTATCAGTGAGCGAGGCTGGAACTGGGAAAACCTTGTTGATAAAATGCTCTCAAGCTTCTTGAACATCTGCCTGGAGCACTGAAGAGTGAAGGGGAGATACATTAGAACATGCTCTTTTTTCCTGCTGATGTAAAACTGCGGTATTGGCTCGAGGAGAGAAGATGAAACAGTGAGTTCTGTCAATCATCTTGCATACAATACATTACATGTTAATTTCAAGTACAAATTGCCCTTCAAAAGAGGAAGTAATTCCGTGTATGTTGTTGCCACGAAGAAGATCAGCACCTGTGAATGTCTGTGTCAGTTCAATATGGTGAAATTATAAGAATCAAAGTATAAAAAATGATCTGGAGGGACAGATTTCAATGGCTGGCCTCTGCTGTTGTTTATCCAAGGATGTAGACGAAGACATGTTGAACTTCAGCTGTTAATTAAATTTCTAATAAATGTGTCTGCATGTCCAAATGCACCAATCTCTGCACTGCACTTCCCAGGAGCGCAAACAGTACACATGCCAAGTGACGTGAAACCAAGAAGATGAACGGTTGAGGAGATATAAGTTCAGTTGACAGTTGTGTCTTGTTGTAGGATTTGTACCTGAGGCAGGTAGTTGAGTCTCCCCATGGCGACAGTCTGTTTGGCTATCTGAAGGGTTGTGTGTCTCTCAGCATGATGCACAAAGTTCTCAGCCACAGCCTCAAAGATCGGCTCAGAGCGGCACCTCATTCGTAGACAATACTCCATGACGGTGCTGATCAGCTCCGGGTCGCACTCTCCCAGCCTCCCTAACACACACACACACACACACACACACACACACACACACACACACACACTTCGTGATTTTTTTTTCAAAGTATTTGTGCCGAAAACAAAAAATGACTTGAAGAACGAAGCATCTTCGGAATGAAACAACCAATGAAAACAAGTCAATCACACCTGGCAGGTTTTTCTCCATAGCAACCAGGAGCTCTCCATGATGCTGTCCCAGGATCATCAGGGCAGAGAGCACCTTCATTATTTCATCATCGCTGAAAACACTGAAGACCCGTGACGCCCTGCGACACAGCCTCAGCACCAGAGAAATGTTCTGTGGAAACAAAATGTTAGCATCAGTCTCCTAACACTGCACTTACAGCATAAACTGTATGTATAGACTTCTTATGATAATAACTGCGGGTCGGCGCGAATAGAAATGAGCTTGTGATGTTCAAAAATGTGTCAGTAGAAGCCGAAATGAGAAACAATCTGAGCAGTAGCTGCTCTTCCTACTTGTCTCTGCGGTAGCTTCAGCAGGGACTGCAGGACGTCGCTGACTTGACTGGCTGTCAGCCGGTGGACCAGCCTCTGTGTGTGTCTGTGCAAAGTGGGCAGCATGCTCGTCTGCCGCTGGCTGGCAGGGTCGTAGCACAGAGCCAGCAGGGAGTAGACTCTGACGGCCTCATCGGGAGACACAACATCCTCTTCTACAGCAGCGCCTATGGAGTTCAGGACCTCTTTCACCACCGCTGACTGGCGACCCTCCAGAGCGTGGGCCACCTCACCCAGGTGGCAGAGCTGTGCCGCCCCGATGTCCCTGTTGGAGAGGAGCAGCAGGCACTCTTGTAACAGTCGCTGTACGACAGGGCTCTGGGCTCCCAAGCCAGATTCAGCACAAGCTCCAAGTAAAGTGGCCAGGCCCTCTGCCCTGTCATTGCTGGGGGAGTCTGCCAGTCTGGAGAGCAGCTCGGGGATCACCTCCCCTTCAAACAGAGACTGGATGCTGACTCCTGCTGTTGCATTGCCCTGTTGTCTGATGTGGGGTCTGTACGGAGAGAGGTGAGGAGCAGCTGTAGGGGGCGTGCGTCTTACAACCTGGTGCGCGTCGTCTCCTTTCCCTAGCAGGGGCACTGCGGTGGGGAGAGGGGCTGCACTCGCCGCCGCTGAGTTCACGTACATGGCGTGATAAGGACGCACAGCCGTTACGCACGGTTGTTGCACAACTACACCTCTGCCGGGCACGTTGGCGCATCTTCCCCCCGAACTGCGACGAAGCAGAGGATTGAATAACGAGCACGCTGAGGTGTGTTGACACGCAGCTCTCACAGACGAGGAGAGGCAGGAAACTGACTTCATTGTTTCTGTGACGTGACAGTGTCTTCCTGCGGGAGACAAGAACAGTTATCGTGACTTTTACGCACCATGTGGTTCACTTTGTAACTACGGCAGAACAAAGAAACTAGAACACATCACAGGAGAAGCAGATACACGTGGAAACTGGATGACAGCAAAGTCACAATGAAAACACATCACGGTATCCGGTTGAAATCTTTTTGCCCTTGACTCATAGTGTCAGCGGGAGTAAATCTCTGCGTAAAGCGAGTTTCGAACAATAATAGTGTGAACTGAGCTGGACTCACCCTCAGAGAGACCACCGGGTTGTGTGGAGGAGCGGCAGCATGTTACAGAACTCACCCTCAGCGTTTGGTAACATTCATAGGTAATGGGTTGTGTAAGCCCCCATGTGTTTACATGTGCTGCCACCCTGCGGTCAGGATGCAAAGTGCAGCCTGGTCGCTATATGTGTGTGTGTGTGTGTGTGTGTGTGTGTGTGTATCATAGACTGTATCATACAAATGTATAACACTTATCTAAACGATACCTCACCTGCTTCTTGATTTACCGAGCCGTGCCATTCCAGACTGGTGTCCATGCCATGGAGGTGAAACCTGTTTTGTTGGCACAAAATGAAATGAAATAAAAATTTGTCAAATCTTTTAATTTACTAGATTGTTTTATTATATTGCTGGAGTTAAAATGTCTATTATTTCATGTTAATGCTCTTGTATATAAGGGGGAAAAAACTCAATACCACAGGGATGGATATAAACCTGTGAGTCGAACAGTTACTGTTCAGCAGCATTACAATGCTGGTGCTCTTCTCTACGCCAACGATTGATGAGTCATAAAACTGTGTTTATGTTAGTGATACATAGACTTGTGTTTTTACAGTTTCAAATGAGTCATTAGGTCTGCACATGTTTATAAGAAGGTAATGGATATATTTTCTGTTAATCAGAGGGGCTTTTTCTCACAGGCTGACAACCAAACAGTTATTCTAATAATAGCTTATAACTGATATAGAAAACAAGAGTAATGGTGTTGGTCAAAAAATGTATTCAATGAATGTATTCAATCAACATGAAGTGTTATGCATTTGTTGTCTCTTGGCTTTATGTTATTTCCTGTAAAGTATGAATTGCACCTTTTCTAACTTTTATATAATGTTGTAGCATCAGTGCTTACGTTTTGAACAGTCACCACAAGATGGCGGTATTTACAAAGAAACTAATCTGCCCACATTGCCTGAAGTCACAGCTGAGCTTCATTTCATCCACATTTAACAGAGGAAACAAGCTATGAGTGGTGATGTTTCTGTAACGACTGAGAAACAGCATTAACCGTGTGCATCCTAAACAGACAGGCCCCAGTAGAGCAGCACGATGAGGGTAAAGTAAAGAGGCACTGGCATTTGTCATATAAATGACTGAAGATTACAACATGTTTCACTGATAAAGAAGCTTTTATCTGAAATTGAAGAATACAATGTTTTAGGGAAGTTTTGACATGTTGATTATATAAGTAAATTTGGAATCAAGGTCACAGCTCATTTTAAATTGTTTAAAACTTTTGATCTACGAGCAAAAAAAGTTCCAGAAACATTTATGAGTAGAAATTCTGATATTAGAGTATAAAAAGGTCAATATCAGTATGTGCTTCTATAAAAAAAAATCTGCTCTGAGTGTGTGTGTGTGTATGAGTGTGTGTGTGTGTATGAATATGTGTGTGTGTGTGAGAATGTGTGTGGCTGGTGAGGCTCGGAGAGTATAAGGGTTGATCCAGAAGTCATCTCCTTCTATCTCCAAGATCATCTGTGTGTGTGTGTGTGTGTGTGTGTGTGTGTGTGTGTGTTGCCCATCTGGTCCCCCTCTATCTCTTTGCAAACAACACCACCAGCCCTCTGGACATGAGCTGGACGGAGAAGAAAGAGTAAAAATACCCGGGGCTTTCAAATGGTGAGCAGGGCAGACTTAGATAAGATCTGTTATAATAAAGTTACTGTTCTGCCGGTAATGCTGATGAATCACACTGAATAGTCACAGTGTGTGTGTCTGTGTGTGTGTGTGTGTGTGTGTGTGTGTGTGAGGAAGGTGAAGGAATGAGGAAAAAATAATAAATAATCTGATTTCATTTCTTATGAAGGACCCAATGGAAATATTTACATTTTTGTTGCTGTTGTAAATCTTTAAATAAACATCATGACTTCCTCAACCAAATAAATGTGGTTTCAAGCAATACAAATTCAAAAATACCTTTCTATCATTTCATCAAATCAGAGAAAAGTACCTTCGGAATTTTGGCTTGCTGCAAAACACACACACACACACACACACACACACACACACACACACACACACACACTCATTGATCTATGCTGTGTATCCACAAACACAGTGTGTGAGAACAACACCACATCGTGCGTTGGCCTAATCTAATGTAATCTAATAATCAAAAGCTCAGTGGTGAGCTTCATCAGTCCCAAATAGATGTGACACATTTTGGAGAACACGTTTGGCCCCGTCTGGCCCAAATGATTTCTGCTATTGGATTAAAAATAACTAATTCCAAATGGGCGACTTAACTGAGAAATTAGGAAAGTCTGCTGGATCATTGTGTCGACACTTGAGTGTTTGAAATGTGACAGATGTTAAAATGGTTATCCAGCAATAGCACTGCTTCAGGACCGGTCCGTTAAGCTTCAGCTCAAATTTTACAAAGATCAAAACATCTATTGAATCAATAAAAGACTCATTATGTTTTCATAAACTCTGTCATGTCTGCTTTTGTTTAAAAAGGCTCATTAGCTGCAGAGGGGTTGATGTCATACCCTGTAAAGCACACTGAATGGGTCGCAGCCTATGTGCCACCTAGAACAGCTTATTTTGTAAATCATACACATTAAAGGTCATACTGCCAAAAAACTGCCTGGGCTGTGGTGGAAGACATATCAGTATGATGATGATGATGATGATGGTTTATTGTTGATTAGGACGATGGTTGCACTGAGGATTGTGATTATTATACCACACAAGATGATTTTCTGTTGACTATTGTCTGTCGTAAGTGTAAAGTGACTTCAAGTTTCACCCTTGAGAGATTTATTAAGTATTTTATAACGTTTCATAAAGTAATGTATGGCATGGTATTGTTTGGCATGATGTGGTTTGGTATGGTGTGCAATGGTGAGATATGGTTTGGTGTGATATAGTAAGCTGTGGTATGGTATGGTTTGGTATGGTTTGGTATAATATGGTAAATCCCATTTGTTCCCATGATATCTTATTTAATTATCTACAAAAAATGGCCACAACATATTTGTGTGCAGTTTCTTCCCTTGTAAAACATTTGTGAAACTGATGCGCTCACATGTTTGATTCCGGATGTGTTACATCACTTTTTTATTGGTTTGCTGATGCACTGCTGTGTTTCTGCCGTGCATTACGGCAACCTCTGGAATATCATAAATCTTTTGGCAGACGTCACATAACAAACAGAGGAGGGTCCCTCTCTTAAGCATCTCTCCATAGAGCTGTTTGTGTTCAGCCCCACTGAAATATCAAGGTGTAAGATGATACAGCAATATAAAATGGACGCATCAAAACATGCACACAACTTTAGTAAACAGTTTGTTGTGATCACCATAACATTAATTTACCAAAGCTATCAGATGTAAATAGAGCTCAAGCAGTTTGTGCAGCATTAGGATTTATCTTGTAAATGTACGTCACAGCTCTCGGCTCTGAACTTCTAGATAAAGAGGGTTTTTTTACACTTTCTGATTATGGACTCTTTTGGTTATTTGATTTTTATCTCAGTTTCCTTGTGTTTAAATTTGTGTCTTCTGTGTTTCCTGTTTTATTTTGAAGTTCAGGTCTCCCTCATGTGTTTCAGATAGTTTTACTTCCTGCCTTTGTGTGTTTCCCTCCAGTTTTGCTGCCTTGATGTGTCTCACCTGTTTGTCCCGTGCCACCTGTCTCTAGTTTGTCATCAGTTCAGTGTGTATTTAAGTCCTCACCTCTGTCCACTCGTCTGTTTGGTTCTGTCTCTGCCTGATTTGTCTCTGTCGTTCTGCTTTGTTTTTTCTGAACAGTTTAAGTTTGCCTTTTGTTTTCTGCTGGGTCTGCTCCCTGTGTTGTGTGTTGAATAAATTCTGTTTTTTTATTGGACCTGCATTTTAGGTCCACCTGCTCTTGTGAACCAAGAATGAAAACGTGTTTCCAGGCTTATATTTTAAATTTGCTTTATGCTGCATAGTTTTGAATTTAAAAAGCAATGAAGTAATTCTCTGAGAAGAGGTCACAGAGCAGTCACATTAAAACTTGCCAGCTGTGAGGGCACAAACCTGATGACTGTGCAGAGGCACAACATACTTAAGTGTTTTCTCCCCTCCTCTCTGCCTGTGTACAAATATGGCACTGCAGGAGGAGATTCTTGAACAATTCAAATTCCTCTGGCAATTCCAGTGCTATAAGTCAGATAGATCTTACTGAGAAAAGGTCTGTAGCTGGTTCACTGGAACCTTGGAGTTTAACTCCTTATCATTGGCTCTTTGTGGGGTTACCATTTATCCTCCCAGATAACGGGTCATCTGGTCGGTTTCAAGCGTCTGCAGATTGTTACGGTCCAAATAATATGTGTCCAATTACGATCAGGTCACAGAGCTGAAAGTGGGCCGGTCCTACGCTAGAGAAAAAGCAGGATATATCTGAATCACACTGCATTATGTAGCTTTTGTTGACAGATTGCAGCCATTCTCGTTGAGAGGCAGTTTCCTGGAACAGGGTTTACTTTCATTACTTGCTGTGACAAGACCATCATTTTGCATAACTTCAGTTCCTTCCTCTGAAAACAGACTTTCTGCTTCTGGACATGTAAAATCATGTGGCAGCGAGAGGTATCAATATTTCATACTACAATCTTTCACACACTTTAAGTGTGTATGCCAGTTATGGAGGAATTTTATGAACATGCCTCTCTCCTGGGGATTCCAGGGATGACTGTGGTTTGTTTTTAAAACGTTCGGGTCGTCATGTGTTTCTGATTTGGATCTAACTCAAGTTGTCATATAAAATATTAGCCCCAATGGGATTTCTAATCATTTTGGATAATAATCGCCCGGGAATGTGTGTCGTGCAGTGTGGGCGAGGCAGGGAAACAAAAGGGGCGCACGTGTGGCACAGAAAAAGAAAGAAAAACAGAGGATAAAGAGGGCAAAAGAGAATCACATCCAGAGATAGGTGGTGCATTCTGGCAGACAGTAGGAATCCATTTCACACCCAGATGAAAGCAGTGTGAGAAGGGGAATGTGTGTGCAGCGTGTGTGTGATAGGTGTGGCGGGACAGGGGTTAGGCCTGTTAGCTTTTCCTGGGTTAAGGAGGGAGGGAGAGAACACTTCATAACCCAGACCAACACTCTTTCAGTTCAATCAATGACAGACCCAAGG